ATATATATATATATATATATAGAAGAGCTTGTCTTGGCTCTGGGTGAAGGTGATGATCAGTTATAACATCCTCATTAGTATTATGATTTTTTTTTTTTTGAGTAATAGTATTATTGTATATAGACATGGAAATTGCCTTATGCAATGTGTGAATATATTATCATTCATGGACCTCAAAGTTTTTTAATACTATTAATTATATGTCAGTTTTTCCAAATTTATTTATTAGTGGCGTGTTTTGTAGTTAGAGATGGTAAACCAACTGATCCCGTAATTGACTTTTTAGTCGTGCATAATTGAAATAAAGACTGACCCGTGATAGAGCTTTTGATGTTAACAATAAAATATATATTTTTTGGTTGATTTATTAAATTATTAGTTATTTAAGCATTATATAATTAGGCACTTGATAATTATACTAGTTGAATTTAATTATCAACATTACACATGCTCTCTATGAGCTAACAAGTAACGCCAAGTGCAATACATCTCTCTCTCTCTCTCTCTCTCTTCCCTACAATAAAGATCAAACCAAATATGTAAAAGGTTTTGGATAATACATATGCATATAATGGTAACTTTCTAATAAGTACTTCTGATATTACTTAAATAGCTTTGGGTTCCTTTTAATTAATTAATTTAAGCAAGAAAGTGCTCTCTTGGTTGAAGATATTTAATAATAATTCGTAGGGAACTTCTTGGTCTTTCTTTGTTTTGGAGTACTTCCTACCTACCTTAAATTAATTAGGAACCCCTTTTTTTCGATTATTTCCCAATTTTCACATAGCACATAAGAAACAGCATTGCATATTAAAGCACATCTTTCTCGAGTCTTTTTTCTGAAGATTATATAATTTTTATGATGGTTTTCCCTAGATCAATATTATATATTTTTCGAGTAGATTTTCTGATGAACATTCGTGTGTTTTGTTTTGACTATTGTTATAAATGATGCTTATGCATATGTTATACATAAACAGTACTCATATAACTGATGTTCATAGCAACCCCTTTTTTGGAATAAAAGTTATAATCTTTGCTTCACTTAATTGCTACTACATAGTCCAATACTCCAATTTAACATTGT